GGCTCGGAATATTCATCGTTTCATGCTTTGGCGTAATGCCAGCAGTCGCTCAAAGCACACCTATGGAACCGCGGAACGTAAAGAATCGTGTTTGGGAGGCATTATGTGCGACGTAGTCGCCTGAACCTCGAATCAAATCCAGGTTCGTGCAGTCCGGTTTGGTGCGAAAACGTCAACTCAGCAGCCCGCCTCCTTTATATCCTGATAAGCCGACAACATGTAAAGCGGAACAACCATAAACACACCTGCACGGATCGACACCTCGATGTGAATAAAACGGCCGAACTTTCACAGGATGACACCATCTATTGTTTCCTAATATGAGCAACACACTTGCTATGAGCAACGCCCTTGGAATCAGCAACACGGGTAACGCTGGTGTCTTGCCGGATATAAACGCTCGAAGTTTCTCTAAGAACTTGCGTACCGATGCAGAGTGTATGGGAACATCACACAATGTTTCACAGTTTTTCACGCATGACGCTGTTTTGAAAATTTTGTTTGCGTTACCTAACCTGTACGACGTATTAATTGGCCAACATCCGTATTATGGTGTGACACATCCAGATGGACCGGTGTGAAGCCTCTAGACATGGTCACGGTCATGGTCATGGTTATGTAGGGCGAGGACGATACGAGCGCCAAGCTCAGTACTTTGTATGCTCTCTGTCTGCACGCCAGAGCATCCACTGAACATCCAAACAGAGACATCAGTGCGCCTCCATCATCATCCTTGTGGTCTCTGCCCGTACCCGGTGATCTCTGTCCGTACCCGGTGACCGTTGCAGGTGCTGCATGCCGCATTCCCAGCTCCAGCGGCACTCTGCACCCTGTGCGGCGCTCCAGCCATTTTGCCAACCACATACTGGTAGTGCCACGTACAGAAAGCCATATCATTCATCTATGATCAACCATGCTGTAGCATAGCATTCGCAGCATGTGCAGTGCGCATTTGCTCTGCAAGTTTAGCGTGCCGGCCTCACCACCGTCACCGGAGAGTACAGACGCTGGCTGACGTTATCAGAAATATGACGTCACCGGGGCGTCGGCCGTCTGAGCGCGAGGCTGCCACAAGACCGGTCCGACCCTCGGCGTCGAAACTGGAGGGCGCTCGCACCGTGTGGGAACGCGCTCACTGCGGTCAATACCAGCCACCGCCCAATACTGCTCTTCTTACCACTGACATGGGTAGATCGGTCACTCAGCTATCGATACACGTGCGCTGTGAAGTCTTAGAATCGTTGGATATGGTTTTGGTGCAGTCTGGAATCTGTCCCATTTTTTCTGGTGAACTTTGGCCGAGTTGACCTTGATCTGGCTCAAATCGCACGGGTCTGAGAAAACAAAAGTAGTTCAGACTCGAGCGTGTGTTCACTCGGACTCTACCACACTTGCAAAACGCTGCAGCAGGCTCGTCGGCTCGGCTGGCTCATATCCGGATCGCACGTGAGTCGTGCTCAAACGGCGGTGCATCGCTCCGGCAGGTGGAGCTAAGCTTCGGCAGAGCTGAGCTGATGGTCCGTCTCCGGGGGTGGTGAGATGTGCTCCGACGGCAGTAAATCGCTCGGACAGGTGGAGCTGAGCTGACGGCAGAGCTGAGCTGATGGCCGTCTCCGGGGGTGGTGAGATGTGCTCCGACGGCAATAGATCGCTCGGACAGGTGGAGCTGAGCTGACGGCGGAGCTGACCTGACGGCCGTCTCTGGGGCTGGTGAGATGTGCTCCGACGGCAGTAAATCGCTCGGACAGGTGGAGCTGAGCTGACGGCGGAGCTGAGCTGACGGCCGTCTCCGGGGGTGGTGAGATGTGCTCCGACGGCAATAGATCGCTTGGACAGGTGGAGCTGAGCTGACGGCGGAGCTGACCTGACAGCCGTCTCTGGGGCTGGTGAGATGTGTGCTGACGGTGGTGGATTGCTCAGATAGGTGGAGGTGAGCTGACGGCGGCAGTGGATCGCTCAGACAGGTGGAGGTGAGCTGACGGCGGCAGTGGATCGCTCGGATAGGTAGAGGTGAGCTGACGGTGACAGTGGATCGCTCAAATAGGTGGAGGTGAGCTGACGGCGGCAGTGGATCGCTCAGATAGGTGGAGGTGAGCTGACGGCGGCAGTGGATCGCTCGGATAGGTAGAGGTGAGCTGACGGTGACAGTGGATCGCTCAAATAGGTGGAGGTGAGCTGACGGCGGCAGTGGATCGCTCGGATAGGTAGAGGTGAGCTGACGGTGACAGTGGATCGCTCAAATAGGTGGAGGTGAGCTGACGGCGGCAGTGGATCGTTCGGATAGGTGGAGGTGAGCTGACGGTGACAGTGGATCGCTCAAATAGGTGGAGGTGAGCTGACGGCGGCAGGGAATCGCTCGGGTAGGTGGAGGTGAGCTGACAGCGGCAGCGGATCGCTCGGATAGGTAGAGGTGAGCTGACGGCGGCAGGGAATCGCTCGGATAGGTAGAGGTGAGCTGACGGCGGCAGGGAATCGCTCGGATAGGTGGAGGTGAGCTGACAGCGGCAGTGGATCGCTCGGATAGGTGGAGGTGAGCTGACAGCGGCAGTGGATCGCTCGGATAGGTAGAGGTGAGCTGACGGCGGCAGGGAATCGCTCGGATAGGTAGAGGTGAGCTGACGGCGGCAGTGGATCGTTCGGATAGGTGGAGGTGAGCTGACGGCGGCAGTGGATCGTTCGGATAGGTGGAGGTGAGCTGACGGCCGTCTTCGGACTGGACCGCAGCTGCAGAGGGAGCAGGCATCCCCAGCCGTCGCAGCAGCCCGGAACCGCAGCATGTGGTGACCAGGGCGGCCGTGTCCGCCACGCACCTCAGTCATCCCGTGACTGCCGACTGCTGACTGACTGCAGGGGAGGAGTGTGCTCCGTGCGTTCGTGGACGGCTCCGGTATGCCCTCATATGTCCAGGACGGGTCAGGGGTCACCTGTCTCGGACCGCCGATTGGGGTAAGAGTGGGCGATGCAAGGTTTTCACCGGCACAAAGGAAAGAAGGACCATTGTTTTTTTTTAAGTTGCGTAACCGAAGTACTGCCAGTTTTTAACATCGTCGTTGGTAATACTATGGACTGAAATGCCCACATAACTGCCACTGTCACTAATCGCACACACTCACCTGCTACCGATCCAGTATGCCTCGGAAAATTGCGGAAATTCTGCTATAAGTGGCTTTAGGAGCTCACATCTCCGTAGCAAGTCAGGACTGAGGTGGTCTCAACAAATGTCAGAGCCTTCGTCTCGCCATATCGGTTTTTGTCCCTTAATTAAACCAGGCATACATACGGAGACGGGTCTTTTGAGGTGTTTATTAATTGATACAGGGAGACGCGTATGATTTGATTCTGCATCACATCTGGACGGGTCCGCATTGCAGCACCTCAATCCATGACCGGCGTCGGAAAATGGACGCTGCTCGCCCACGTTGACGGTAGGTGACGCTAGCCTTACATCTAGTGGACGCAGGTGGCGCTAGCGTTCGCAATGCGGCCCACTTGCGCCCTGTTTCGCACGGGTATGAGAGCGCGGCAGTGGTGCCCTGTCCAGGAGCAGAGCCCACTGACTGCCCAACGGGAGACGCGTGTTTTCAGCCGGCTGGAGCATCAACCGCGTCAGCTGAACCTGGCTGACAGGAGCTAACCCAGACGGGAGCGACCATCACCTGACTGTCGAAGTGATAACCGTCCGCGACTGCCTCGCACTAACAAGAGCGACACCTCTCATCATCCTCAGCAAACACCATCATCATACGAATCTAAGTAGACTGTGTGTGGCTTGTGAGCATGGGGCATATCGGCAGTAAAATGGACCGCCTGCTGCAGAAAAGCGACCGAACCCGACCACGCAGCCGGCGTATAAGCGGATTGGTGTCACCCCCGTCCAGCCAAAACCAGGCAGTCCCGGAACAGGACTCAGCTGTTTGTTCGGTACAGTCATGCAGCGCGTGCGTCGGGTGCCGCTGTACCCCGTTAGCTCCCTGCGTTCCTCAGTCTAGTCGCTGGGCGGTACCGTCTTGCCAGTGTGCCGCACGCAACTCTTCGTGGAAATTCCACAAGTACGTGATTTCGCATATGTATCATCGGAGCTTTACCACGTACTCAGCTGATCAGGCTACATGGCGTCGCCTGCCTCTCACCCTGGCAGGAAGGGCGGGCACCGCGGACAATCAAACCCCGTGCCTCTGGTTTCCCAGATGCGCAATGGTCAAAACAGACGCGTTAACCACTACACTATCAACACCCTCACAGAAATTTCGCATAATAGATAGCTTACCGTCATAGTGGGTTTATCTCTCCAGCAATGGTGCACAGTTGGCAGCAGTAACGAAAGCTCAGGTCACATCGTTTGCAACGCTTCACTTAAAGATGAGACGGTACTGTAGCCTTGTTCCCCGTAGAATTCTGCTTTCAGGAGGAAGGAGAGATAGATGTAGTTGTATTTCGGCCACATGCCTTTATTGAAACGAACGTCAGGTGTAAATTCAAAATTGTCTGCTGATCCCGCTCGGCTTTTCAGTTTTCTGACAAAAAGATGGTGTATGAGCCTTTCAGGTTTTTTTACAGGACTGAAAAATCCGAAAAATTGAGTGGAATCGGCAGGCAATACAATACTGATGTTCGTCCAGATAAAGATGTGTAGCCGAAATATTGACACATCTATCTGTCCCTTCTCCTGGTTATTTTACAAGGCATAAGGCTAACAGTACTGTCTTATCTACATGCATAATTTTCCCCGCAAATGCCCTTAGCCCACGATTCATTCATATTTCAAACCTATCCCAACAGTGGTATCGCAATTGAGCCTGTTTAGCTTCGGCTGTTTCCTCGCCAGCTGATGCTATGTTGCTAACATACCACGCCATATGACAGTTCATGGCACACAATTCGACCAGCCCGTGCAATGTTGACCTTGTCTACCTCTTCTGTCCCGACCTGTGTTGTGTTGGTATCACGGACACGGAAGAATATATGGCACAATGCGCCGAAGGTCGCTAGGTCCGAAAGGCGAAACCTCAAAACCATATCTTTCCACAAAGCGTAATACCCACGGTCACGTTCCATGTTTCATTCCGATGTTACAAGAAGGAGACGAATAGTTTGTAACGACGAACACAAATAAACCACAGAAAAGAACGAATACTTCGGAACGACGAATAAAAAGTCCACATCACGCAAGTTAGATTGCTCTAATCGAAGCACCACATACATAACCTCTTTTCAAAGATCTTCGGCTTTGCCCGGCATTTCAATGACCGATAAGGGCCCTGTTGCGATGGTGACGGGAAAACAATGGCCGAGGTCTGGTCTCCCTGTGCGGGGAATCAGTCGTCTGTGAGAACTCTCAAAGGTGCCCTCATGGCTCAATGCAGTAGTACTCACAGATCCTTTATAAAAGAGGCGAAATACACACACAGAGAAACGCCGAAACATCGGTCGCATAACTCGCCACGCCACGGCTTGCGGTGAGCTAATGCAACGGAACAAGCGGCGGAAATACGTTTGTGAAATATCACAATACACAGGACAGCAGACAGTTCAAATATCAAAATAGCACTATACTACGCCAACAAGCAGCCAGGCCGGTGCTCAAGGCGTACGGTTGTAGCGATCGCCAAATATCACTGTCGGCCAGGCCCCGGATCGCGCGCGGGCGCGGCCCACGCTCATCCCGTGCTGTCTCGCAGCACGTGCAGACAGGCGCCGCCGCCGCCGTCCGTGACGCCGCCCCTCCCCTGGCAGGCGCCCTGGCATCAGCCAACGTCCCACACAGCGGGTCGTCTCAGAACGTGCTCGGACACATGGGTAGGGTCATCTGGCCGAAGAAATTCATCTCGTACATGCAGGCGACCGAGAGAAAGATGGCGTACCACACCAGCAGGCTGATTCCGTACGCCCGCGAGAGCGTCCACCGGCTGATGTACGTGGCCGCTAGCAGGAACAGCACCGTCGAGAACAGGAACAGAGTCGAGTACAGCATGCCTGGAGGGCAGACCGGCTTAGAGAAGCAACAGACGAGGTCAGAGGTCAGAAGTCAGTAGCCGGACACGAGGCTGGATGGCCACAGAGCCGACGTCAACACCGGGGTAAGGTCATGTGCTTTGTCCTGGTGAGGAAGGTGTCGTGACGACAACGCCGTTTTGAAATACAGCAGGAAATTGGTTTTAGGGCTACGTATTGACGCATGTGCCCGCTAGGGTCTCTAACGACGTCTTATTCTGGCGGAGACCGAGGCTCATGATCCTTTTAGATCCACATTGGTGCTGAAACTATTCAGATACCCATCACCTCGTAAGGCAGGTCGAAATTGCGGTATTGCTTTGCATCGTGTTTTGGCTGCTTACTTAAGTCGAGTTACAATAGCAGCTGACCAGCGGCCAGTTTCAGCACCACAAATAGTCGCTGGCCGGTACGGCACGCACTATGCATGAGTAGTGTAGAGTAGTGCTGTGCACGGAGCAGATCTTTAAATGTTTTTGGCTTCATGTTTCAACGCAACAGTTCATAACACATATTATAATGTCGAACTACTCACATTCTGAACATTCTGGACGGTGCGGCCGCTGCCCACACTGCTAGTGAATCTACAGCCAGGTGAGCAGTCTACGTGGGGCAAAGCACTACTTACCGCCGCTGTCGACTTCGACGTATGAGCCCGGGCTCACGAAGGCCGTCGCGACGAGCCATGGCATCCCCATGCAGAACAGAATGTCGAACACGTTGCTGCCCAGGGCGTTGCTGACAGCCATATCACCGTACCCTGAAACGGCAGGGACACACAAATTTGCCCTTCCGCCCACGCGATCGTTCGGACTCAACGCTGCATCCGGTCTGCGGACACAGGCAACAGCGTCCCGGCGGGGCCGGGCGTGTGTTCGACAGGTAAACACAGAACCATCCTATGAGATGACAAACAACAGCCAGCATGTGCATGTGGCTGGCACCTCCATACGCTTCCTTGCCCCCGCCCACTAACCGGCCCGCCCACGAACAGCAAACGACGTGGTTATACTGTGATCCATGGAAGTTTGTATTTATCGCCGGAAAGTTCATGTCTTGTGTTATCTGTTCCTATACACCGTGGAGAACAAATACACAAGATATTAGCATCCTGGGATTAAGATAAACACCAGTGGCTGCGAAATACATTTTTTCGCAGCCGGAGCATGGAGAAAATACCCACCCACCATAACAACACACATGACACCTTGCTACATTTTGATGACGAGCATCGGTAGCTGGCAAAGCCGCCGGTAACTACCATCTTCCCCGTATCCATGATGTGTCTGTGCCCTGAGCATCCCACGCAAGACTACCACGCACGTTATCTGAAACAGCAGGGAGTCTAATGAACCCGAAATTAGCGTGATACATGTCAAACGAGCGGCACGACCCGGTCGGGGCTGGATGGCGCCGTATGCGACGCACCGTCTTTGGCGACGGCGACGCTGGCCAGCACGTCCGGAATGGACACGCCGATGGCGACGAACGACAGCCCCATGATGGTGTCCGGTATGTGCAGAGTGAACCCTGTCGGACATCACACAACACACACACAATGAGTCGGACGGTTCGCAGCAGCTCGAGAGCAAGCTGGACAACAACAGCAAATCAGCATCAAGGTCAAGACGGACATCATTCGTTTCGGAGGTGTGACATTCTTCACTGCGAGGCTTTTTGTTGTTGTTTTGTATGTCGATACATTGACAAAGGTTGGAGAAAATGAGGGTCAGTGCCCTAGACTTACAGAAATAGCGTAAGTGTATTAAAGAGAGCGTTCCACACTTGTATGACGTTTTGAACTCCAAATCATGATCTGGCCCTGTTTGGCAGAGATTGATGGAGCCCACAGCAACATTTAGCACGACCCAGGCATTACTCTCTGCGCATGTTGTACTGTTTCCGTAAGTTGCATTATCCCAATGATTTTTGCTCTAACGGGTCTGGTGAGGAATCAGCTGATCTGGCGTGGCTCCGCACGATGAGTTAGGAGTGCGTTGTTGACGCGTAGTTTGTGCCAAATGCTTGCATGTTTTGGAGCATTTCTGTCTGTAAGCTTTCAAATACCTGAAAAGGTAGCAACGGACTCTAGGTACGTACAAAGCATCTATTTTTGTAATCACTGCATGGGCAGCGACATTCGGCTCAACGGATATTTCTACCTCTGTTTTTTTCTTTCAATGTTGTATCGCTGACGGATCTTTGCCATGCACCGAAATATCATGAAACTACTATGCACCGAAATGTCATGCGACCCACTGGATTACGACCTTAATTGCTGTACGTGTTGTTCGGTGTGAATTCCCTGGCAACGCTCCATCACCCGTGCGATCGCCTCTTTCATTCCTGGGCCGTGGGTGGAACAGATGTGTTAACCACACCCTCAGTTGTCTATTCGGTCACGGCTTTTTGTTCAGTTTTCACGATAGCAAGTTGTCACAGATTTTCTGACCTCGACTTCAAATTGGCACTGACAGCGACATTGACACTGACTGGCGCTTTGAGTGTTTTTTCTCAAAACATATAAAAAGTGGTAGACAGTAAAAAGTGGCTCTCAGCACTGTCATTGTTTAAAGGACCAGCCAGCCCTATCGAAATGTGATTTTAGTTACATACTCAGCGTGTCGCCCAATGTTCTTCTGATCTACTGACACATAGCCTCCTCCGCATCAGGAGTGGCCCCCCAATATTGAACAAGGCTGCAAAGCTCTGGCACTTACAGGGGCTACAAAAGCACGTGAGTATGGCCTATCGGTGAGGTTATTTATATTAGTGCTTTAACACGCGCTCGGGTGGGGGAGGGGGGTCGATTTGCCCGACCCCAAAGCTTTTTCCGGAATGATTTCCGAACGGCGCGGCGCCGGATTTTGCATAGTTGTAGGCAATTGAAAAGAGGGTCTCTTAGTTTCAGAAAATTAGATATAACTTGCGAGATCGCTGACCTACGGCAGGTCAAAGTCAGAGCATGGATTCAGCGAAAACATTTTCTAGAGAATCGTTTAAACTGATGCAATAACGGAGTTCTAGACGAAGCCACACATCTCTCAGACAGCTTCTTAGGCAACACAACAATTGAACAAAAAAATCCATTGATCTGGGGCCAGGTATGAAGACCAGACCAACGACAAACCAACCTGTTTATTACTCTAGAACTTCCTGTGTGAGGTAGCTTTTGGTGCTCATTTCGAATTTGTTGACAACAGGAACCGTATAATACATATTCTATGGACTTCTTAAATGGCAAGACGGGTCACTGCCCTAAAATGATCCAAGGTCAGTAATTGTTTTAAGGAGTGTATTGTAAAGCATAATCTTTGACGTTTATTGAAATGCAAAATTAAAAGCGTTCTTGTATAATTTTTATCACCATGACCTGCGAAAGGCTTAACAAGGTCAAATACCTCGAATGAGCGTCAGCGACCTTTTGCTCAGAACAGGTATCTAGGTTCTGTGGGCACTTTGGACACCAATTAGGAGTTTGACATTAGTTGGCCATGTCTGAGTCGAAGTTCATGACTTAAGAACCCCGAACTTTGACGAAAGTGAGTTCAGATGCAGGTTAACATGCCTTCGTAATTTGGTGTCGCTAGCCCTCTTAGTTTCTGAAATCTCAGGGGGATCAAATTGACCCCCGACATCCGAGCGAAGGGTATTCAACCGGCCGCCTGAACGTGTGTTAAGCCTATAACATTCTGGCCGAATACGTGGTGCAAAAGTGTTCTCATTTTAACTTTCCAAGGCTTGACAGGTTGTTTACATGTTAACACCAATAGTCTGCTGGTCTTAGGAAGAATAAAGTTATAATATATTTTAGGTGAGCCCGTCTTTTCCAATACCTGGCGGCAAACTAATGCCTCACCACCGGTTGGGGTCATTATCGAAACCCATGATCTTCCGACCACAAGTGGCCGAAATAGCGATAGCAGAATCAAATGATCTGTTCGCCTGGCATCACCAGCTAGCAGGGACTGCAGACGGTGCATCAGTGCGCGTATTCTGAACCCATGATGCCGAATGAAATCGGTAAATATATATATATATATATATATATATATATATATATATATATATATATATATATATATATATACGTCATCAGTAAATTGCAAGATAATGGCAACGTCTCCTCGCAACATGAAACCCCAGCTAGACCTGGTCTTACTCGCCGTTTACGACTCATACCACAGGGCTACCTTGCACACCACATTCATGACCTGTACCAAACTATTTCGAGCGCGAACCCTAGAACATATGAGCTACACCTTATCTGGTCTGGTCTGGTCACCATCTGTCAACAAAAATAAAAAACGTCAAAATGGCCAAAACCAGAGCATCATATATGGGCTGTACAAAGTGTACAGCGGTGCCAAACGCATTGGCTTTGGTCCTCATAACCAGCCGGCTTTCGCCTGCAGGGTGGAACCGGAGATCCATCAACACCCCTGTGGTTGAAATTACCTTATCCACCCTGTTCACCATGCTTTAGAAACATACGACCAGAACAAACTAAAACGGTTTTTAGTAATGTGAGTGGTATGATCTTGTTTATTATGACGCGCTCGGGCGGGGGTCAAATTGACCCTCCCCCAAAGGTTTTTCCAGAATGGTTTCCGAACGGCGCGGCGTAGCCACGCCAAATGTTGCACAGCTGTAGACAATTGAATAGCAAACCGTTTGACATCACAAATGTTGATGTGCCTTTTAAGGTCGCTGACCTATGGCAGGTCAAAGTCAGGCCATGGTTTCAGCGAAGACAATTTCTAGGGAATCGTTTAATCTGACACAACAGCGGAGTGTTTAACGAAGACATACATCTCTGAGATGCTTTCTTAGGCACCACAAATACTAAACGAGCAAATTACGTTGACCTAAGGTCAGGTATGAAAGGCGGACCAAGGTAAAAAATAAAGCTGATTTATTACTACAGGGCTTGCTGTATGGGATGGTTTGTGGTGCTCATTTCGAATTTACTGACGGCAGGAACCGCATTATACACGTTCAATTGACTTCTTAGAGGTCAGAACAGGTCATTGACCTATCATGACCCCGGCCGACATTTTGTTTTAGGAACATACTGCCTAGCGTAATCTTTGTCGCATATTCAAATGCAAAACTCAGAACAGTCTTGTATTATTTTGGCCACCATGACCTTCAAAAGATCAAACAAGGTTACTGGCCTCAAATGGGCTTGTGACCTTTTGCTTACAAACAGTTGCCCAGGTCCTGGGGCTCTTTAGAGATCAATCTGGAATTTTGACCTTGTTTGACCTTATTTGACCTGACGGTTATGACCTAGGTAGCTCAAACTTTCACCTGAGTGAGTGCACGTACAGGTCAACACACCCTGTAAATTTAGTGTTTATAGCTTTCTTAGTTCCCGAGATCTCAGGGGGTCAAATTGCTCCCTCCCCACCCGAGCGAAGGGTATGTAGCCGGCCACCCGGGCGCGTGTCATGGTCTCTCGACTTGAAGTATCAACAACAGCGTTGAGCAACGATATTTCATGCAAGTGATGTTTATAAACTAACCTAAATAACTCTGATTTCATAATGGCTAGAGACGGAAGATTTATCTGTACTTTGCCTTATTGTTCTCGTAAAAATATGACTAGTTGCATGTGAAATATTGTTGTTGACTTCATGTAACAACAACAGCGACAGATCTTTACAAATGGATACCCGGAGTACCCGGAAAAAGGCAGCGCTAGAGGCTGAGAGAGGCCGTAATCAGTTTTCGGTTGTTTTCTGGCTACAGCTGGAGAAAAGGATGTTGCCTGCGTGGGCTTAAGCACGTTCTTGAACACACAAAAACGCCGGTGGCTTTCGTTGAAAAGTTTGGGAACATGTAATCTAAGTGCACTTCAACGTTGTTATAGGGCCTTGCCTTCAACTTGGCAGCTGGCCGCAAAGACCGGCAAATCCTGCAGCTGGCCAGGGATTGACTGCGGATGGCTAGAGAACGACAGCAGCTCGCCGAAAAGGCATGCGGGGATTTCCATACTCAGTGTTACTCCTTTCGCTCACAGTTTGGAACTACCGGAAAAATAGTGTCAGCGTTTTCCAACACAACGCAGTATTTTGGTGGAAGATCCAACATGTGTTTTACCCACAATTTCATCGGGCAAAAGATAGGCAAAAGCCACTAACAATGAGCTTTACTCTAGACAAACAGTCGAAAGAACTTCATTCCAATTGGCTACGCCACAAAACAAGCTACTCCACCTCTTCTCAATCACTCGCCGTAATGTTCCGTCCCACCGGTTCACCCTTACCCGTTGCGTAATTAGACGCAGTCCATAACTTACATCACGCACGGAAGGGGAGAGGTGGCGTGATGGAGTGCAACGGAAGTGTAACAAGGGAGGAAGGGAGAGGGTTTGGACAGCGTAACGTTACACTCGGGTGTGGTTGCAAACCATGCTAAAATATATTTTAAGACCGAGTTCTAACCTTACAGCCGGACATCGATGCTTTCTGGTCATGAGGTGGAACATGCTCGCTATTTGTTTCGCATCTCTAGCTCAATTAAGGGCCAAACGGACATTCACTTCTTGGAAAATACGCTTAACGCAACGTAACGAGGCGGACGGGGAGACTGGCCGTCCAGCGTAACCTGCGCGTAAACACGGGTGGAAAGAGCGTTGCAATGGCCAAGAATGTGTCACGTTGTCTATGGACGTCCTCTTACCGAATGGTCCGTTTTGAGAAGGCAACACTGGCATGTAATCCCATGCTGAGATGCCCGTCCTTTCCTTCTGAGCTAGCATCCTTCCCCGGTGTCCCAATGCCCCCCCATCCCCCCCCCCCCCCCCCGGAACCTGATGGCCTTCATCTGTCATCGGATGGCGTAATGGCCTCCTGACATAGCTGCCTGAACTCCACGCATCACACGCTCCAGCGTGCACGAGCCCGCCAGCATGACACGGCGGCGGCACGGGTGCCCAGAGCTCGTGGGCCGCTCGTATGTGCCGCTCACTGAGCAGACGGCGGCACTGGCGACACCCTGGTCCGCAGCTAATGGTCCTAGCTTCGTGACGTTCAGCGCTGGCACCGGCGAGCGGGCGACAGCAGCTTGTGGACGTCCCAGTCACGTGCAGGCCAGCGGCCATATATCGCGAGATAAACAGCACTCGTGCCAGACAGACCAGGGCCCCACTGAGCTGTATAGGTCATAATTACGTAAGTTGTTCAGTGCATTAGCGAGGTACCTTATTAATATAGATAAGACAATAGTATTAGCCTTATTCCTCGGAAAAACCATGAGATATAGTACTGCATATATATATATATATATATATATATATATATATATATATATATATATATATAGTACTATACCCAACTATATATTCATTCTCCTGTTTTTTTTCCGAGGAATAAGGCTAACACTATTGTCTTATCTATGGGCTGTATAGGTCGTCTGAATTTAGCTTTAATTTTTCGTGTATGTCTCCTTAAGTATTTAAAGCACTATGGCAGGGATTATACAAATGAGCGCCAATGAACAAAATACTGGTGGTCATATTGAGGATTCATGACACATACTCTATTCATGTTTGTCTTTGTGCCAAGTACAGCATGTCAGCCATCGTCTGGCTAACGCGTTGCATTATATACCCACCGATATCAAACCGCACGGCATTGGTGGATCCTGCCTTGCCTGGGCGTTATACATGTATAGCTGCCATCCACGAAGTGCATCTCAAGTTCATCTGTTTTGGTTATTGCTGCCTGGCATTCAAAAGTCAAAACTTCGCCATTTGCTGCTACTATCTAACTGGTATTTATTGCAATATTATGAGTGCCTCCATCAATAGCATCGCTTCACTCCTCACAAAGTTACTCCAGACTAAGAATGGCAGAAGCCCACTTAATGACTTCTATATTCTCAGTAAGTCCCGCTTCCTTCTGTAGTTTGCTTCTCTCATTACATCATTCCACGAAAAGAGCAGTGAACATAAAACACGTTGTACATTCATATCAATATCGATGCAAGCACGATAATTTATGGAAAAAGTTACGTTCTTGCAAGCCGCAAATTCCTACACAGCTGTTGGAGTTGCGGTCAACCGGACAATTTCACATAGGAAAACCGTGCCATTACAAATGGAAGACCAATCGTCTTACCGAAACACTGACTCTGGCGCACTCGTTTCGAATCAGTCAGGGCAGCTCAGCTGAAATCGTTGTGTTGCTGATGGGGAACGCTCGTCCGCGGCGGAACGTACCACCAGGTCCCAAACGGATGAAAGCCGGGCGGTATTGTACGCGCAAGGCGAGCTTACCACCTCCCACGTCTCGCCATCAGTATGGATGCCGTCGTCCGGCATTCAGCCCGGGCGAACGCATTGCATTCCAACATTCCCGCTCACCTATCACGGTGATCATCCAGATCATGAGGTAAGAGTAGACCGATATCCAGACCATGGCCATGACGAACGTCAGCGGGAACCACGAGCGCCAGCGTTGCTTCCCCACGTCCGGCATGGTCACGTAGCAGCTGGTCACGATCGGCAGCGAGATCACGAACATAAACCTGCCGGCATGGTCACGTAGCAGCTGGTCACGATAGGTGGCGAGGCCACGAACATGACCCTGTCGGCATGGCCACGTGTACATATATATATATATATATATATATATATATATATATATATATATATATATATATGTAGACCAACTGAGCAGCAAACAGGTAACCGAGCGAAACAGGGTCATGTAGCATGTCGGTACAGAAATCAGACAGTAGAGAGGCACGCATATTAATCAGAGCAAACTGCCAGAAAGCCACTAATAACGGACGGCGCATTGATTTCGTAATAAATCGCACATATCTCACGACACTCTATGCCTATACACATGTCTGTCTAATCAGCTGAACCTGTTGAAATCTTCGTAGGCTAAAGCTGAGGAACATTGAGCATGTACGTGCGAGCTCTCAGGCCGAGCATGTCTTACTTGAACTACAATACTAGCTTAAGTTGTTGGGCAGCTTTCCACAGCAATAATGATACATTTTGAAACCTTTTGTTCTATAAATGATCAGGCATTTGCATGCAATTTGCATGCAGCCAAGCGGAACAGGTGATTTATTGCTGCGGAATTGCAATATCATCATGATTTCGTTCGCCCGTGCGGTGAACATGGAAAACTCTTTTCACAATTGTGGAAGCGTTGCAGGATAGGGGTCCAAACCAGGTCCAGACGTCGACGGCCTGGTATCGCAGCAATACGGAACTAACAGAATCTGGCGGAGGAAAACACGGACGATCGTAGAGGCAAAAGCGTCGGCCGCTGTATGCACATGGCTACGCGCTTTCTCGCGCAGTCACGTCTGGGACCGATTTGGGGCGTTTTCAAGGGGTGATGGCACATATCAGCAGTCAGAGCAGACGAAGAGTGAAATCCGAGCTACAGAAACGGTGAATGTAGAGCAAAAAGCTGATGTAAATGTGCCTCAGAATTGCTCGACCCCTTGTGTGCCAGTAATCGACCGAAAAATGGTCAATGTAACTTTTTCGAATTTGACCTCCGATACACTAGAGCCTAAACCGGTCGAGATTGGGGCATCAAGACTACACAGGTGCGTTAAGTTGCGGTGATTAACGTCCACAAGAACTATTGGCATATTTATGGTACTCTGGTTGCAATCGCAGTAATCGTCGAAATGACAACCAAAATGTTTGCTTCAAGGTTTTAGTTACTTAAAGAAAGTAAACGTGACAAAAATTACAAGCCCGGCCGGCCTTTTTTAAACGTTGTTTTCCGTTAAGACTCACACACACCTTGCGTATTTGCTCCATACTCGCTGCAGAGTCTACAGTCAGTTAGCTCTTGCAGACTAGATGTCATATTTAAGCTCGCGGGCACACAGAGCACGGGTAAAGAGTTCAAAATTAACGCCTCTAATCCGCGTTAGCTGAATTCTGCAGAAGCCGCAGCACATTCTGCGTTCCTCAAATGTTCGGCACTAAGGAGTTAACACTTGTTAGCTCTTTTTTCCGCACCTTGCGACCCTTTCGGGCTTACCTGAGGCATTTTTATCCTGCCTTAGCTGACTGGTCGCAAAATCTTCGGCAAGTATGTGATCAATACGCAATGTATGAGTAGGCCTTTGTGTCAGCGTGTTTCTAATAGGTAAATTGCGACGAAAAACAGACTTCTCAACGCATTGATGAATCCTTCTAGTACTGATGGTTAGCACCGGAAGATTCCTGGTTTAATTACCTTATTTGTGACGTCGTTTACGTCCTGAAACTGACAAATTTAACATCTGTTATCACCCCTCTCGTTCCGCTCCGAACAAGGTGTCTTACGCGTTTTGTGACCTAAGTGATCCACGTGTCTAGGCGATAGGCCCTGCCGCGTCTCGTCGTCCGTCATCGCGCCGTTCAAACGGCGCCGCGCGCCGGCGGGCGCGGCTCACCCGTCCTCGATACGATCGGCGCTCGTGTGTCGGAGGACGACCCTGGCTGGACGGCTCGTCCTCCATTGCGGCCAGTTGAGCAATGGGCGGTGATTGCGCCTGAAAACTGGACCATCTGCCGGCCGGGGGACACTGGACGACCCTGTCCGTGCCCCGCCGGCCACCGGTCGCCCGCTATAAAACGGACGCGCCTCGCAGACGGGGCATTAGCTCATCTCGGACTGCTCTGCGAGCGTACCACTCCAAACCGACTGTCAGCATGAAACTGGTGGGTACAAAGACATAATTTTCTATGTTCCCGTTTCTTATAATTAAGCTTTGCTTACTAATGACGGTACAGTATTTCATCGTCGGCTTGGAATGAGACCACTCACAGTCACATATCCAATCTTATACACGCATCTAACTCATGTTTGGCAATTGTCTCGGTTCAGCGCTTTCCCCGTTACATTGTCGGACGCAATGCTCCACGTAGCTCCGTACACCGCACCGCTCCGTCCTGACGGAGGTGCGCCGTTCCGCAGCTGGTGTTCGCCGCCGTGGTGGCCGTATGCGCCGCCGCTCCGTCTCGGTCCTACTCGGCGCCCGAGGCGCGGGCCGCACCGCTCACCGTCCGCCTGCTGGAGGAGGCCAGCGAGAGAGACGGCACCGCCGGCTACAGCTTCCGCTTCCTCTCCGACGACAGCATCGAGCGACAGGAGGTGGCCGCCGATGGCTCGGTCACCGGCTCCTACAGCTACGTCTCCCCCGAAGGCATCACCGTCAGCGTGCGCTACGTGGCCGACGCTTTCGGATTCCGGGCGGAGAGCGACGCGCTGCCGACGCCCGTGCCGACCGAGTACCCGACGCCCGACGTGCCGTCCACCGACGCTTCGGCCGAGGTCCGCACGGTGGAGCGATACACTGCCCCAGAGCCTGAGGTCCGCACGGTGGAGCAGTACACTGCCCCGGAGCCGGAGGTCCGCACGGTGGAGCGGTACACTGCCCCGGAGCCGGAGGTCCGCACGGTGGAGCGGTACACTGCCCCGGAGCCGGAGGTCCGCGCAGTGGAGCGGTACACTGCCCCGGAGCCGGAGATCCGCACGGTGGAGCGGTACACTGCCCCGGAGCCCGAGGTCCGTACGGTGGAGCGGTACACTGCCCCGGAGCCGGAGGTCCGCACGGTGGAGCGGTACACTGCCCCGGAGCCGGAGGTCCGCACGGTGGAGCGGTACACTGCCCCGGAGCCGGAGGTCCGTACGGTGGAGCGGTACACTGCCCCGGAGCCCGAGGTCCGCGCGGTGGAGCAGTACGCTGCGCCGGAGATCCGTGCCACTGAGGCTCCTATTCAGTACGAGAGGGTGCTGGTCGGCTACCGGCGCCGCTACTAGTAAACTGCAGTGACCGCTCTATTGTTTGACCAAGCACAGGACAGACTGCTGGCATGCGAACTGGGCGACTTCTGTGTCCGCCACTGTCCAGTACTTAACCTTCTGTGTGACGCCTATGTAAGACACAGAGCGCTCCTGCTCGGCCGTGCTAATGAACTTGCTGCTTGATTTTGACACCCATCAAAACATGTTTACATAACAAATTGGTGTGAGGGCTAACAGAACTTTTGGCGTACTTTTGGCAGGCCTGTTGGTTGGAAAATTGTAACGATTGGTTTCGACCATGCAATGATCCCATTTCCCTCACATTTGGTACAGTCGTGTCCGTTGGGCGCCCTGTGTTTGCTGCAAATAGCCGTGTGCATCGCTAGTCTATTTATGTGCAGAATGTAAGACTGAATGAGACGCGTAATAAACAAATTATTCAGAACGAACAACCCCTGTTGATGCAATACCCTTCCATTGAAAAAATGACCTTTGAGAATCACACCACTGTGAAAGAAATTGAGCCACGGTAAAAATGCGTAGAACGAACCAAAGCAGCAGCCGCCACTCTTCCTCCCCCACATACAAATAATGGAGAAAGCACATATAGCCACTGTTCATCTACTTCATCTACCGCGACATACCTTACGGCTGGGAGGTAAAGGCCAAGAAACAAAAGCCACGCCACTAGTGCTGCAATTCCGACCTGGACCTTTCCCACTGTCGCAGCAGTTCGCAGCGGGAAGATATCGAAATCACGCCGCCGGAGGTCCCTTCACCGTCCTCCCCGTGTTCGGCCCCAGGCACGGGCCGTCGCCAGGCGCGCGTGCACACTCACCGGTTAAAGCATCCGGTGGGCACCTGGAACGGGCTGTGGTTGTCGTACGGCACCTCGTGCACGCCGCCCGTCATCTCGCGCTGCACGCCCTCCGATGTGTCGCCTGCCAGGAGGACGTGTCGGGTCAGCAGACAGATCGGTCAGGGGCGCTGTCGGGAGGACGCGTCGGGTCAGCCAACGCAGGGCGGTCAGGGGCACCGCCGGCGGATGTGCCGGGTCAGCCGACAAGGGCCGGTCAGGGGCACCGCCGGCGGATGTGTCGGGTCAGCCAACAAGGGCCGGTCAGGGGCACCGCCGGGAGGACTTCAAAAACTTCGGTAATCTGACAGGGTTCCTGTCCGACTAAAGAATGTTTTTACGTGATTGACAATTTGGTGGGGGTAGCAAAACAGCCGACTCAGAACTTGGATTCCGTTTTTTTCACGTGATGCTGTTAAATCGACGGATGTCCTTTTCAGCAGATACATTGGCGAGGGGTTTCCGCTCCAACACGTAGTCGCCAGACCGGGCCTCTCCACCTGCTGCGCCGTAACGGCGTGCTCGCTCCAGTAAGGCCGAAGCGAGGTTGAATCTGACTGTATTAGATCGCCCACAAAACATACTTGATTCAAGGAAATATATTTGTGCCGTTTCCAAGTCGTAAGCAGGTCATCTTCCACCGCAAATAGATCAATCTCCACCGTCCAAGAATATCTTCAGCTAGATATGTTCACGATTGGCGTCGTCAGAAGTTTAAGGTTGGGACCGGGCAAAGCAATCACGGGGAATTAAGTCTGCAAAGCCGGAAATTACCTTCAGACCTGGGGTGTAGTCTCCTATTCAGCTGGTTCAGGGCGGGGGCTTCAGCCCCTTCTCCCCCATCAATTCGGGCTTCAGCCCCCGAATTCCGGTGAAAACCTGTTGGTTACTTTTTGGCGATGGGCTGAGACATTTCTTCACCATTGAGTCAACCCTCCCCCCCTCCCCCGTCAACCCCTTTTGCAAAACCGCTCCCCTGCCACGGACCTATCCCTGCCCAATGCTTCCAGATTTAGGAGAAGCCCCGGATTTGGCGGGTTTAATTTGAAGTTGGAGCGAGAACACCACCCCTGGTGTATCCTCTTGGCCGGACCTGTGATTTCCATGCACACCACGGTCCGAAGAGCGGGGACTTTTCCGGGAGGCATACCTCCGTCACTTATCAGCTGAAGCCGATTGGGCCACTAAAAATGGTGATTGGCTGTCGCAATTTTCAAGGGAAATACTTTTTTGTTGGTTTAGGAAGTAACGATGACACGGGCCATCTCAGCAGAAGACAATTGGCCCACATTCATTGCACACCCTTAGAGGTGTATCAGCAAATTACAACGTTTTTAAATACGAATTTTCGCATCCCCTTTAGGTCCTCTTTCCCTTTAGATCCCCTTGCGGAGAATCAAAACGTTCAGCAGCTGTTTGCTATCGACTTTAAAGCAGGCAAGGTTATGCCATGTAACAATGTTAAATCGCCCATTTTCTTATTTGCATGGTGCCGCACACTAGTATGGGTTATATTTGCATGGGAAGCAAACAACCTACCTACTGTCACTCTTGTGTATAACATAACGGTGCGTATTTCTATGATGATTACAGCAAAGGGAAGTTTTCCATACTTAATCCCAGTATCACTAAGCCAGACTGACCTAGCTGATGCCACGTGGTATGAAATTTACATTTCGGATCCCAACCACGCTAATATTGATTGACCTGTTTGCATTTTGAAACGGTAGCATCGCATATCATCCTCTGCAATCGCATGCATGCGTCAATATGATGTAACCAATGATACTCCGAAACTTATTTGTAGACGTTGTTAATTTGTGCATGGCGAAGTTACACACACGGGCTATACCATATCAATCACTCACAGGCTATCTCTTAGTTCGGAACAGCGTTTTCACGATTGAACTGCAGTGGATAACTTTAATACAACTCCCTGTATTGGGCTGGAGCATCTTAACTTCGGCCAATTTAGGACGCTTCTACTGCTGCATAAATTTGCACTGGTATCGATCGTTTCCAAACATAGCGAATAGCAAAATATGAATTTGATGCATGAAGCGCACGCTTTCTAACAACAAAAATCGATTATCAAAATCCTTGCTTGATATTTTGCTATCTTTCCACACAAAAGTCACATCAATTGTGCGTCAGTATGTACGGAAAAATGGAGAAACAAATATGGCATTTTAGGCCAGCGTCATTATCACTAGCGCAGCAGTTAAACGCGAATGGTCGGTTAGATGACGAGCCCAAATGCTTGCGAGCGCAACCTAAGCTTTCATTTCTTTGCATAGATTTTCGACCAAGTAGTGTTCACTTGCTCCGACTGATGAGTACTGCTCATTTCGAAGCAAACTGTGTTGCCTTTTGTACGGGGGTGTCGAACTAGCCAAGATAAGCCTTCGCCTTGCTCGCTTTGCCAGGGCCTTTAGCAACACCACTGTCATCTACGAATATTGGAAAACAATATGCATACATAATGGCTCCAGACGCTGCTACTGCACTCTCGGCCCCGCCTGGCCTGTGCAGTGTACGCGGTTGAGGTCATGACAAGGCAAGCAGTCACTGCGGGTTACCCGAGCGGCGAAGCAGCGAACCAGCATCAGCAGCCGTCGGCGATAGATGGCAGAACAATCGGCGACCGTCAGCGGGGTGGCGCGCTGCGGAAGGGGTTGACGCGAGGCGGCAGTGGAACGAGCGCGGCTTTGGGTGCTGGTTTACCTGTTTGTTTCTTGATGAGTACCCAACAATTTAACCATGCCTTATCGGAGTAAGCGGATATTTCAGTTGCTTCTGTTCTTACTATCAGGAGTATCAACTTGCAGAATTTCTGCTAAATGATTCAATCTCATTACGTACGTCATATCTACTTGTCAGAGCTGTCTAGATGAACAGAGTAGTGTCTTGCGTCCTAAAACCCCATCGTCATT